GGAGACGGACGCGCCCTCGGGAAGTTTCTACTCAGCTCGGAGCCCGTGTTGGCAGCCCTGGCGCCGGGCTCCTCTCGGGTTGCTCCCGCCGCCCCAGGCCGGGCTCGGGGTCCTGGTGAGCGTTTCCCAGGAAGCGTTTGTGGTACTTTCGCTGGAAAATTGTTGCTGCGGAAGCTCGGGAAGTGGGGGCCCCCGCAGCCCCGGGTGTGGGCTCCATACGCCCGCCGCCCTCTGCGCGGAGGCCAGGCCCCAGGAGCCCTGGGGCTGCGGCGGGCCCTGGAATAGAGATGTCAGAGGAGGTCAGCCTGGCAGAGACGTGGGGCCCCTGGGCCGCCACCCACCGGCCTCGGGCCCGCAGCAGGGAGCCCTCGCGCCCCTGCAGCTCACACCCACCCAGGCCTGCCTTCCCGGATCACCAGGGCTCACACCGGCCTTGTCCCTCCATTGGCATCCGGGTCCCTCTCCCTGCTGCCCTCGCTGTTCCTGACACAGGCCACATGTTAAAGTTGCGTGAACTTTCTGGATCTGCGGGGCCGTTTTGCTCGTTCGTGTTACTGAAAAGCGCGCTGAGCCGGCCCCTCCTCCTCTCCCGGTCTCTGCGGGAACCCAGTCCCCCAGGGCAGGTGGGAGGCTGGGAGCTGCTGGCAGCCGGGCACAGGGACAGGAGAGCCCTGTCTCGCCTGCTTTCCGTCCTGGGGTGAAAGCCACCGCGTTACTCCCCCATCAGGAGGCCCAGCCCCAGGTGCAGGCAGGCCCCTCCTGCGCAGGAAACACCTCTGCAAGTCAGGGGAACAGCCCGGAACTTCAGCGGATCTTGGGAAAAGGGAGAACACGTGCCCCTCTTCTTACTCTGCTTTTCTAGCTTTGAAATAAACAGCCAGACCGGTGATGGGAGTTTCCAGTGGCTGAGCCTAAGCCCGGTGGTTATGTGTCAGAAAAGAGGGCGTTGGTGCAGGTGGAGCTGAGCCGCTGCTGGGTGGCAGCGATGCTGAAGGGAAGAGGCTCCCAGTGGCCTGGTTTGCTGCTGCTGGGAACCTCAAGGTGGGACGGGGCCAACACGCTCAGTGGATAGAGCATCGGCCCTGGGACTGAAGGGTCCTAAGTTCGATTCAGTCTCAACCCCATCCCCAGCCCCAGGTTGGGGAGCATGAGGAGGCAACCAATTGGTGTCTCACACGTCGATGTTTTTCTCTCTCCCCCTCCCTTCCACTCTCTAAAAACCAATGGGACAATATCCTTGGGTGAGGATTAAAAAAATAAGAAAGGGTCTAATCCTATTTATATTGTTCTCAGGTTTTCCTTCATGTTTCCTCGAGCAGCTACGCAATGTTTACAAATACATAAAGGTCTGTGCAGTGGATTTGAAAATTCGATGGTTACTGTCAATGTGCTTCTTGCGCTTCCTTAGGATGATATGTAAAGCCAGCCAGTTTATACTCTTCTCTCCAGACGCCCCCTTGGTATTAACGACCTCACCCAAAGGGAAACCCCTGGGCACGGATGGCACTTTTGGCCGATTCCCTGGTTTTCCTATCAAATCGCTGTGCCAACTTGTGGTTCCGTCACCTGCAAAGACCAGCTCTGGTGTTGGCGGGAGACTCCCTGTGGGAATCCTGACTGTGCAGAGCTGTAATGGGCAGGCAGATGGCAGCTTCCGGAAGGACAGGCTCTGGGCTCACAGACACAAATGACCATCTGTCTTCTCAGATAGGCCCTGCGAGGTGACAGAGGCTGGCGGGGGAGTTGTATTCTTCCTTTGCCAGCGCTGGTCGGATGGCAAGGTTGGGTGGGCAGTACTCACCTCTGCTCATGAGGACGGTGGTCTCAGCCGAAGGGCCTCACCTGGGCAGGTGTGGAAAGTCCCTTGGGGCAGGCAGAACCCAATATCTCTGCTGCCGGGTCAACTTAGCTGATAGAATTCACCTGGTTCCACTGGTGTTTCTACCCTGTTGATTGCCCAGGATAAGAGAAAAATCTGGTTGGAGCGATACCTTGCATTGCAAACTGGTGCCTCTGAGAAAACACCACCTGTGGACGCACCTGTTCTCTGACCACATTTGTTCTGTATGAGGCCAGGAAGCCCGTCCCCTGATGCCAGGTGCTCCTGTGGAGTCTGCGTTTGCAGGAGTGAAGTGCATCTGGGACCACGATGGGGGGGATGACATTGTCCCCAGCTCACCTGGGAGCCGGTGCTCAGTGTGCAGCAGGTGCTGGTGACTCCAGATCCTAAGGTGCCACCAGCCCCCAGAGCTGCCCTGAGAGACACCCCGAGAGGCGCTCAGTGCCTTTGGGACAGTCCAACCTGAGAACTTGAAGTCACTGGAGGAAAATGAGGGATGAGTAATGCAATTGTAGCTGCCACAGGAAGGGCGACTGAACAGGAAAGGCACTGGTAGAGGGACGCAGAGTTTAGGGAAAGTCCAGGTGTGACGGGGAGCGTGGAGGCTGCGTTGGGCACCGTGGAGCTCTGGATCCAGAGGCCCCTTGGCCCTCACCTATGGGTGTGGGCAGAGCAGGAGCAGGGCACATGGGATTCCTGTGCCCGGAGCCCCCTGTCATCCAGGGGAGATTCTGGGAGCGTCTCTGCAGATGCTGAAGCCCACGGTTGTGTAAGCAAGACAGCAAGGAAAGGTGACGGCCGGTCAGCAGCCCTGAGACCAGTGTCCCCTCCTTCCAGTTTTACTCCAGTCGTGACTGCTTGCGGGGCTCACCATGTGCCAGGCCCTGAGGAGGAGGGTCACATTCTGTGAGGAGCCCGTAGCCGGGAATGCTGCCATCGCTGTTCGCGGAAGGAGACATGAGCACAGGCGGGTGAGGGAGCTGCCACGTCACAGAGCTGAGATCTGTCTCCGCGCTCCCACTGCCTCGTCCGGGCTCTGATCACCTCACTGAGCTGCTTAGCGGAAGTAGCGGCCAGCGTGGGTCAGTCAAGGGCCCACTCTGTGCCAGAGATGCTCTGTCTCAGTCAAAGTGGACACTCTAGATTCTGTCCACTTTACGAGCAAAGAGACCAAGGTCTGGAAAGGTGAAGTGACTGCCTGAACACACTCCATTAGCTGAGCCATCGCCTGGATTTAGACGGGCAGTCGGCCCCGCACCGTCAGCCACTGAGCTAGAGCGTCCAGCACCGGCCGCAGACTGAGCGGAAGTGACCGCATCCTGGGAGGAGGCCCTGACGCGGCCTGATCTCCAGGAAAGCACGTGTGCGGCCCGGAGCCGTGGGAGGAAGAGCATCACTCAGTTGTAAAGTCTGACTCAGGACGACACCTGAGCAGTGGGAGGGGGAGCTGTGGCCCACATCCTCAAAGAGATGGGAGTAGGACGCGCTGCAACCCTGAGGGTCTTCCTTAGGTCTTTGGAGCCCAGAGGGCGAGGTGTGAGTCCATTGCTGGTAAGAACATACACAGCCGTGTTAGAGAATTATCGGCAGCCCCTTCTCTCTCAGCTGGAGCATCGGGGACAGGCATAGAGGGCCTGGCCCAAAAGAACCCTTCGGACAGAGTGTCCTGGAGCAAGACCTGGAGGCCTGGGCGCACATGGTGGGTGGGGATTAGGTCACAAGGTGTGGCCTCAGCACAGAGTGAGTGTGTGTGTGTGTGTGTGTGTGTGTGCGTGTGCGCGCGCACACGTGCACGTGTTGGGGGAGGGGGGTGGTAGTGGCAGGAAATGAGCCAGAGTGCGACGTCTTCATGTTCTGCAGGGAAGCCTGCGGGTCTTTCAGAGGCACTGACTGGGGATCCCCAGGAGACTTGAGACAGAAAAGTGTGTGATCAGACCCCATGGGCACGGGCCCTGTTCACTGTTGTCGGTGACGGTCCATCCCATCATTGATGTTTCTGTCTCTCTCCCTCTCCTTTCCTCTCTGAAGTCAATAAAAATACATTAAAAGAAATGGGCATCCTTCTGTTTGAAGTGCTATTGGCCACTGTGAAGGAGCCACTGGACCCAGATTCCTGAGGCCTGATGAGCTTTCTCCCCAGCGATCAGCGCATAGCACCACGAAAGGAGACGTCCCTTCATATGTGGGCAGCGTCGTCTCAATAGTTCTGGAGATAGTGCCTTTATGCCCCACACAAGGCTCGCGAGAGCTCCGTGACTCGAACTCCCTATGATGGTGGCTGTCTGCATGTCACAGTCATCTTAGTGACACTGCTTCTCTGAGAAATAAACCTTGATGTCCTGTGAAGGAATCACACACACTGGTTCGCAGGGAGGAGGTGGGTTCAGGCAGGACCATGACTGGCCGTATGTCCCCATCATTCAACTAAAGGCACAGGGTGTGGGGGGAAAAGGCGGGAGACGCCCGGAACAGGAGCCACGTAGAGGAGCTGGGACTGTGGGAGCCAGGAACGGCGTCATCACCGTCTTTCAACATCTGAGAGAGAAACGGCCCCCAGAGGAGCCCTGGTTGTCATTCTGTCTCCACCAAAAGAAGGGGCAGGAAATAGCGGAAGCTGCTGGAGCATTTGGGGAGTTTCAGACAAGTACAGCTGCCAGTACACGCTGCTTTGTCCTTTACCAGAGGGTTTGAAAAATGTGTTTTTATTAAAACACTAGAGGCCTGGTGCACAAAAATTTGTGCACTCGGGAGGGGGGTCTCTCAACCCGGCCTGTGCCCTCTCATAGTCGGGGACCCCTCGGGAGATGACCACCTGCTGGCTTAGGCCCACTC